TTAAATATTGAATGATTATTGTTTTAACTAAATTATGAAATAGATTTCAGATGGTAACAATATTCAATTCAATTAAAATCAAAGATACATTTTATTGACCATTTATTAAAGTATAGTATATGAAAACGCAACAAAAAGAATAGCATGAAGCACATACTAAATTCCATAGTTTCAATTACAAGATCATGTTGCAATCATGAATATATCACCGTAAATGGAAGAAAGAGTAGGCCTATTATAATAGCAGAAAGATATTTTGTTAGTGGAAAGATAGCAAAACAATAATACTTAGGCCTATGATAAACCGATTCACGAACTAAAATATCGTCGCTCACTAACACAATCAAAGTAGATTGTGTTAGTTCGTGAAATCAAGATAGCGCGTCAAAATACGCGCTGTTGTTGTTAAGGACTTTTTGTGTGGTAAAGAATACAAAATAGCTTGACAACAAATACGCGCTCGTTTTGACGCGCTACCGTGATTTCACGAACTAACACAATCTATTTGGGTTGTGTTAGTTTGTGTTAGTTCGTGATGTGAGCGACGATATATAGGGCCTAGGCATATTAAATTTTTCGTTTTCGCAACTCCTTCGGCGCTCCATATATTTGTTCGAAATAAACCGCGACCGAAAGCGCGACCGAAACAAAGCGCGACCGAAACGAGCGACCGAAATGATCATTTCGGTCGCGCTTCGTTTCGGTCGCGCTTCATTTCGGTCGCGGTTTGTTTTCAACAAATATATGTCTCGCCAATGGAGTTTCGAAACGCTAAATTTAATATATATAACTAGGCCTAATTATCATTGCAACTTCGTCAATCGGTTTATCATACTTTTTTTATTTATGTTTTGTTGTATTTCTAATAAGTAACAACAGGCCACTTAAAAGCAAATAAAATTAATACTATTATTACTAAACTATCAATTAATATTATAGGACGGTTTTTATTTTCGTTTTGTTATGAATCCTACGCTTTCTACTGCATAACAAATACAGCAAATAATATAAATACTAAAATATGATATGATGTTATATATTATTATTATTGTTATTATTGTTATTTATTTCCATTGTATCTGGAAAAAACAGTTTGTCATTTAAATTACTGTAACATTAGTTTATTAACAATTATTTTTATTAGCATTAAAGTTTGTTATTGTTATATGAAAACGCAACAAAAAGAATAGCATGAAGCACATACTAAATTCCATTGTTTCAATTACAAGATCATGTTGCAATCATGAATATATCACCGTAAATGGAAGAAAGAGTATATAGCAGAAAGATATTTTGTTAGTGGAAAGATAGCAAAACAATAATACTTAGGCCTATGATAAACCGATTCACGAACTAAAATATATAGGGCCTAGGCATATTAAATTTTTCGTTTTCGCAACTCCTTCGGCGCTCCATATATTTGTTCAAAATAAACCGCGACCGAAACAAAGCGCGACCGAAACGAAGCGCGACCGAAATGATCGGCTACCTCCGAGAGGCCTAGGCCTGGACCGTGTCACGCATGTAATAATGTCCACATTAAAAAATTTTTAAAAATAGAGGTATAATTTTTAGCTCTTTCGCTATATTCATCTACTGTACTTAAAATAGGATTAGTTTTATTCCTACTATTGCACATTCAAACACAAATAACCGTCGGGGAGAAAAAGCACAAATCGGCGTCGGGGGAAAAAAAAAATTATATGTATTTTCTGCATAGTAAACTCTAAAATTAATTAAATAAGCCAAGTCAATTAAACAGAAGGACGCACATCTCAGGACATCAAAAATTATAACTCTCATCATCGACATTCTAGGCGCACATGCTTGATCCATACACGCTGAATGTCACAAAAACCGTAGCAACCAGACCATAAACCGTCAGCGTATGTGACGATTTACCAGTGGTGGCGCCAGAGGGGGCTGGGGCAGAGCCATAGATATATGGCTCTGGGCTGGGGGAGGGGGTATAGCCCCCCTCCCGTCGGGGAAGACGATAAGTTTTGTCGGGGAACAAACAAATAAAAAACAATATTTACATGTAATATTCGTTTAGCCACCATATTGTTTGTGTTAACTTTTCATCACAACAACAATAGCAATAACAATAATATTAGTAAAAAAATAATAATAATAATAATAATAATAATAATTCAATGAGACTAATTAAAAATAATTTGCGTTCTGTTATGACAAAATGCTCATTTAGATAGCCTCGTGATAGTTGGAATACATCGTGATAGGTGAAGCAACCTCGACCATGAAAGCGTGGTTGACAGATTTCATGCAAAATTTCCAAAATATAGAATTTCACTTAATTAGATGGTTACATTGCATACTCTTTGTTTCTTGTTTCATTCAAAATGTTTTGGTTTTGGAAGCTGATTTCAACATTAGAAAGCATAGCCTATATGAAGTCATATTATAGTAACTCGATGCCTATCAAGTAATTAATACAAATTCGCCATAAATCATCAAATATCCGTGGCTTCCAGGGGGATTCGCCCCCTGGACCCCTACTGGTGAGACTCGATTCGCTCAATAGCCCCCCTCCCCGTCGGGGCCTTTAGCACCTCCGTCGGGCAGGTCCTGGCGCCACCACTGCGATTTACTCACGCGCGTGTTAGTTGCCATGATAATCGCTCGTCATGCGGTGATTACAAAGGCCTAATGATATTTTGCACTAACATTAGACTGAAATTATATTCTTCATTTCAACATTAATTTTACCGATATTGTGGTGTATTGTCGTTGATGAGACTTGAATAAGCTAATTTGTAAATCCCTAAATTGTCAAAATTTTCGGGGGCTTCGCCCCTGGACCACTTTCAAAACATTTTAATTGAAGCTCGACCACGCCCACTTTGCTTTTCGTCTTGGAAATCTAACCCTTCGTCGGAGGGGGTTCGTCGGGTGCATCGGTCACCCCGTCGGGGGAATCGGTCTCCCCGTCGGGACCTCTCCCCCTCCCCCCCCCTCCTTGTCAGGCAAATCCTGGCGCCACCCCTGCGAGGACATACCGAAGATTACGAAACTGGCCGGGTGCAGAGAAGCGATCATTCGTCCGGAGCATGCCAGTTCGACATGACAAGAATACTGTGAGATTATCGAGTAGTGGTAGTTAGGCGCTATACTAAGCTTTTTGCCGCCCATCCATCTGAAGAAACATGCATTCTCAAGAAAAATGCGGATTCGTAGATTTTAAAGTCAGACTCGGGAGGAAAAAATGTTTTGATATGTTGTAGGCCTAGAACAGACTCATTCGAAGGAAAAGTTGTTTGACGAAAAGGGGGATTGGTGAATAGATGCGCGACAGATTTTTGAATGGGGCCTATTTAAAAACTGTTTGAAGGGGCGATTACGCCTCTTTTTCCATGGTTTTAGATATTCTGAGGTGCCTTTTGACTTATAAGTTCTTCAAAAACTAAGGTTCCCCCTCCTTAAAAACGGTAAGCTCAGTTAAACTTCCTCATTTTTATTACAGATAGGCCTACAATTATGTGTTGTGTACACATAGGCGTACATAAAGAGGATTGAGTAGGCCTATAGTTGCATACGTAGGCCTATACTTTTCCACGAATCAAACCGGAAAAAAAGGGGGTCCGGCCCCGGGAAAATTTTGATTCCTATGGCGGGAACAATGCCGTAGCCAGCTAGCGGTGTTGGAAAAGTCACACAATTTTTCTATTGGGTCCACAAAGAATAGGTCCAGTTTTCAAAAATGGGTCGAAATTATACTGTTTTAGCACGAAATGAGTCCGATCCTGTTTTTAAAAAATGGGTGCAGATTTCTCATATTTTGCGAAAAATGCGTCCAGATTTTTTATATTTTTTAGTAAAATTGGTCCTCTTTTAAGAAAATGGGCTCATTTGTATTTACGCGTAATCGGAGGGTCCACACCAATTGTCCCTCACTGTCCTGGCTACGGCGCGGCATTGGGCGGAAATGATCTTTCCCGACTATTGAGGTGTCTTTTATTGAGGTGACTTTTAATGAAGTTAAGAAAGGTTTTCCCCCTCTTGAAAATGGTCAGGTTGTTAAATTTCATATTCTTTTAGTAAATAAGCCTGTGTGTAGGCCTGTATAGGCCTACATAAAAACAAATTGAGCTTAATTTCTAGATTGCGGGAAATGACATTTCCGACTTTTATCTTCAAAATTCAAGGTTTCCCCACTTAAAAACGGTCAGGTAAATTTTACTCATTCTTATTTTGTGTACCGGTATGTGTGTGCCGGTATACATGCAGACACAAAAACTGAATAGTTGCATACTCGGGTATAAGACGCGGCTTAAAATAGCAAATTATGATCGAAAAAAAAAATAACAGGTGTCGTCTTATGCGCACGACATATTTTGTGTACTGTAGTTGCTTTGATACAATAAAAAGGTGTCCCCTAAGAGTGGTTAATTGTATTTTTACCATTTTGCACACTCAGAAAATGTCCCCGTCCCCTTTATAGGGGTGTCTTCTTAATATATACCCAACTAACAATTGGACGTTTTTTGTACGTTCTAAAAGCGTTCCAAGTTGTTTCTTCGGACGTTTCATAAAAACGTTTTTTGGACGTTTTTTGTGGAAGGTTTTGGACGCCCATAAAACGTTTTACTGGACGTCTTTAAAACATTTTCTAAATGTTACAAAACCTATATAAAAAAAAACCTTTTATGCAATTATTGCTTTCCAGTCTTGAGGACCTGCAGAAAACCTTTAGACGTTTGGAAAACGTATTGAGAACATTCAGAAAACCTCTTTATAACGTTGAGAAAACCTTTGAAGAACGTTTAGAAAAACCTTTTAAAAACATTCAAAACATTTTTTAACGTTTAGAAAACTTTTTAAGAACGTTAAGAAAACCTTTTATGAATGTTCAAAAAACTTTTTAAAATGTCCAGAATGTCCTGTAGATGTTTTTAAAAAAATGCAGTCAACATTTTAAGAAAGTCCTACAAAAGAACCTCCAACATATAGTGTATTGAATATAAGCGCTAGGTCATGACACATTTGATTGTTTTTTTGGTTTTTTTTTGCATTTTATTACAGTATCAAACATACTTAAGATATAAACAAATAGTTATTTGGCAAACCAATATACAGTAACATGGTAAATAATGAGCATACTTAAAACACTGGTTTAGTAAACTAGGGACCAGGGTTTCAATTTTTTTTTCAGAATACCTGCCTACTAATTAAAACTACTGAAGAATCTACACATAGCTATTACAACTAACTGATAGTTGAATTAATCATTTGTCTAACTGGCAAATATGAATACTCTTATATTTAAGGGTCTATGAATATAAACGGCAAGATATTAATGAATAGTTTCAAATGATCCAACAAAATGATAAAAGAAAACTTTTCATTCTTGATCTTTTGTAAATTGTATATAGAAATGTTTGTGTATAAATGAACAGTATGTATAGATACAGAATGTGGAAATTGTCCTTTATTACAAGAGAATACAAATTTAGTAATGTTCTCCAACCAGGATTAGCTTCATCATCCAGTGCAAATTATAATTTCTCAAATGAAAGGAATACAATACTTTACTTCCACCGATGTTAGATCTCACAATTTCTATATAGTGTAACAAAAATATATAACTCATTTTTTAAGAACTCAACTTTTAATTAAAAGTATGTTAAAAGAATGAGCTAGATTAGGGCTTAATCAATAATCGGACAGGCAATATTTATATGCTTGTGCCGATGAGGTGCAGATTCACAATACAAATTGATCGTAATGTTAACGTGTGTAACCCCCTCACATAAACACCCCCTCCCCTAAAAAAAAAAAAACATCGGGAAGAAGACCAAACAATTCCTACAAAATTTATTGTTATAAAAAATCGCTAGTTTATATAGTGCAGGTGGGGGTTGTCATGTTTTACAATGGTGCCAATTTCAACATCTATACATTTTTTTAAGGAATATTATATTTCCTACTTGCATAAGTATAAATCGTAAAATACTTAATATCTTCAGGCAGTTTTATTGTATTTATAAAATCTCTTTTAGGGTTTAAAAAAATACAAAAAATTAATTCATTAAATAGTCTTCATTTGCAATCATCTTCAAGATGACACAGACCCCATAATTGGCTTGCCAAATACATTCTTAAGTAATGCCTAATTTCAGCTTGTTTCAGGAAACTAATTACAGGGTTTGTCAGTTTAAAGGATTGCAGATCAAGAGAAAAAAAGGAATTCAATTTTTTTTTTGTAGTTTTTGAGAGAATAAAAGAAGTTTTAAGGATATTCATAAACCTACCTGAAATGATTAATAAACTATTCCTAAAATTATTAATTGTTGTTAATTGGCACCAAATGTTCTCACCATTTCCAGGCTCCTATCTTTCTCTCTGTCAGGGATATAAACATTGAGTTTCATGCATGTATTTTCTATAACTGTCAGACTGCCCTCACCTATGATGAAAAGTTCACTGGAAAGTTTAAAGAAAGACTACTATGACAGTGTTATTTTAAATTTTGTTATAATTCTGCTTTGATTTTTGAGATTTTTTTGCCCATGTTTTGGGAGTTTACGCATTACAATCAGGTTGTATTGTGAATTGGTTACATATCGGCATATGCATATATAGCCTGTCCAATCAGATTATCGGTTAAGCCCTAATATTAAGCCTGTTTTTGACTGACCGTTTCTGCTACTCATGCACTCACTGTCAGGTTTCTACAAGCAAGTACACAAGTTTAAAACTTTTGTCTTAGATTCTAAGGTGATGCATTGCAGGTGTAGTGTAATTGGGTAACCTAACAGCTCCCACTGACAAACAAAAATAGATATTGAATCATATTGGAAAGGAGGGTACCATATAGCAAAAGCCCTACTTAGTATTAGATTACTCAGATGGAAAATGCTATTCAATCCTCATTGTCAGAACCTCCTACTTCTTCCACATCATTATAAGCCTCCTCGTTGATGACAGCTTCCTCGTTGATGACATTTTCCTCAGAGACAGCTTCAACTGGAGCGCTGTCAGCGCCACTTTTGGGTTTCTGAAATTTTAAGCAAGCAAACAATATTCCAAATTTAGAAAAAAAAAATGTGCATGCATTTGTAACACAATCTTTTTGTGTGTGTCTGTGGTGGGGGGATGCCTACCTTCCTTATACATAAAGTATTTCATACTGCCTTTTCGTGATTTTCTCTTTTATGTTTTGCACAATTTTTTCTTAACAAAATTAAGGTGATATATGTCTAGGAAAACAAATTAAATTGTATTAAATGTACCTTAATAAATGAAATTTTAAATGTGTTATATCCCTTCAAAATTAATGTATAAGTATGATATGCATAATGTACAGTAGCTAAGATAAGTAAGAGAATAGCAGTTTTTTTTTTCATGAAAAGTGAATTCCTGTCTAGGAAAACGAATTAAATTGTATTAAATGTACCTTAATAAATTAAATTTTAAATGTGTTATATCCCTTCGAAATTAATGTACAAGTATGATATGCATAATGTACAGTAGCTAAGAAGTAAGAGACTAGCAGGTATTTTTTTCAAAAGTGAATTATCAGTTTCCATTCCTGTTTTTTTTTTTATTAGTTTTCCAAAACAGTTACAATTTCAATGTCCCTTATAGGCCAAATCAAAGGGTATAAATAGAACAAAAGTGTGTACTCCCGTTTATAGAAACTTCATAGCTGTGTAGAATGCCCGCGTTCATTTTTGTACTGACGTATGCCCGCTATTTACTTGGCAAGTAGAAAAACAGACATGACAATGGTACAGGACGTGGGTGGACATACAAATGACAGTGGGCATCTTACATTGGCTGCATACTAGGGCCTATCGCTTGTTTACTCTCTCAATGAGTGCAGTTGGCTCTTTTGCTCCATTTGGCCTAATTACGTACACATTAAATTTGATTACTGATCACCCTCTAATGAAAGACCGCTCCAATTAAAGACTACTTCTAAATAAAGACCACTTTTCTGTGGTCGCAAATTGACAGTCTTATTTTTATTATTCTAACTAGAGACCGAAGTTGCTAAAGACCATGAAAATCCCGGTCCCAAAAGTGATCTTAGATTGGAGGGAGACCTGTATTTAATAACCGTCATCATTAAGTAACTACAGTACATATCATTTATTTTAAGCATGTTGCTAATCAGAACCTAGGACCAGTAAACTTAAAACGTAAAGAAAACATTATATTCACCTTTGACGAAAGCAGGTAATTTTCTGTTTGTTCAATCAACTGCCACAGACACAGTAAGGCTTTCAAACAAACAAAATACTTCCCTACACCACCACACTTGATTGAGTTTTTAACTTTAGTAGAGACAATTCTGAAATAAAAGTCACCATTTATATAAATTAATAATTGGTGATTACATACATCAACTTTCAGCAAATAATAATTGCTAGACTAGCCTTTAACCCCACCCCGGTTTAGGCCAGGCCCTACCACTACCTAAAAAACACCAACTTTATTTCAATAAAGCATGCACTCGATAGCCTATAATTATATTATAATAATTATGAGAACACGGCCTAATTACCATTCTCATAACTAAACAGGCTATGAGGCAAGGCTGCAGTTTATTTAGCTAGGCCAACAAAGGCCCTATGCCATGGCCATATCCCTAAGGCTACGCTAGCCTAGCCTATCTATATGCTCACTGAGGATAAATAGCTGGGCTGGCATAGAGAACAGTGTGAACTGCCTATGCCTGACTATGTCTATGCATTATGCACAAATATGCCAGGCCTGGCCTAGGCTAGGTCTTTCCAAGTCTTTCTTACTACCACTACTCACTACTGTATCATGCCTATTAATGCCATACCCTAGTAGTAATTACCCACATTAACTGAATAATAAAAAAAAACCCTCTTACCGCCATAGTGGATAGTACTGCTAAACACATTGAGCATTTTAATATGGCGCTCTACATAAAGAACACTGCAGCACCTAGGGCTATACAATTCAAGTGGGCAATAATAAATCAATTAAGTACAGTATTTAATTTATATTCAAAAGAAATTAAAAAGAGATAGAACCTCCACTAGAATGGAACATATACAAAGACACACAGTATGGTACAAACTTG